TTTTTAGCTCTTTATATATCCTAGATGTTAGCCCTCCCTCTGAGGAACAGCTAGCAATAATGTTTTCCTATCCTCTAGTTTGTCTCTTTGCTTTCCTGGTTGATCTCATTGCTGTGCCAAACCTTTGGATTTTTTTCTTTTTAATGAGAGTCTGAGCCTGTTTAAACATTGCCTGTCTGAGGACGATTCCCAGGGAGACAAGAGCACTGCCTATCTGCGCCCCAGATGTCAGACTTGCCTCTCCCTTCACACTGCGCCCCTCACTCTGCAGGCCTGGAGCCCTCACCCCCATTTCCTGTTCCCCAGAGCCCCGGGGAAGGAGAATCCCAGCCTTAGGTTTAGGAACCTGCCTTAGCCATGGGAAGTCCAGGGAGTGGGGCTGGAGCCTTTTTTTCTTTCCTTTGTGGTACTGGGGATTGAATCACAGCCTTCATACTGAGCTACATCCCCAGCCTTTTGTTTATTTTTTTGTTTTGAGACAGCTGGGTTTGAACTTGTGATCCTCCTGCCTCAGCTTCCCAGAGTGCTGGGATTACAGGCGAATTGCCACCATGCTGGGCTGGAAATCTTTGGGAACAGAACACTTCCTACGTTTGCCAAATCAGATCCATCCAAAGAGCCTCCCACTCCTGGCCAGCCAAGTACCACCCCAACTGAGCCTGGGGCGGATGACCTCATCTCTATGGCTCTGGGAGTCATCTCTGACCCCGAATCTCAGGGTCGGGGTGGTGCAAGTTGATCTCTACCAGGATCCCTATCCCTGCTCTCCCTGTTAAGGGCCTTCAGCGCTGGTCTTGTGTGTGTAACAAAATGGGGAAAGTTTTCTTTATGAGTAGAGGTAGTTTATTAAAAAATAGACATCGCCTGTCAGTCCAGTGCAGAGGGCAGAGCTAAGGCCACAGGAGAGACGGGCTGATTGTGAGGCAGGACCCTGAGAAGGAGCCGGGCGGACCTGCTGGGGGGGGGGGGAGGGGGGGACCCTGAAAAAATCAACTCTGATGAGCAGCGCCCAGGCGGTCATTCTGAGTCCCTGCTCTGCCCTCGACTAGGGCCAGAGAGCACATTTTCATCCTGGAGATGTCACCAAGGCAGGTCAGTCCTGGCTGGTCACAGCCGCACCCATCCGCCCTCCCTCCCTCCCTCCCTCTCTCCGTGTGTGTGTGTGTGTGTGTGTGTGTGTGTGTGTGTGTGTGTGTGTCTCTCTCTCTCTCTCCCCCTCTCTCCTCTCTCTCCTCTGGTATGCTAGCCACACCTCTTGTCTCTGAATGACTGTCACTACAGATTGTCACACATGTGCTCTTTTGTTTCTGTGTTTTTGAGACAGCCTTTTGCTGTGTGGTTCAGGCCAGCTGTGAACTCACTACATAGCCCAGGCTGGCCTCAAACTCAAGGCGACCCTCTTGCCTCAGCCTCCTGTGTGCCAGGATGACAGGCGTGCGCCACCACATCTGGCTCAACTCCAGGGATGCTGACCCACGGTGAGAACCCTTAGTGTTTGCTTCCATAGGAAAAGTGAGGTTGCTGGGCTCCCAGAAGCCACCTCCAAGCCCTGGTCTTCCTGTCTCCGAGGAAGGTCTCCTTCCTTTACTCCTGGAAACACATTGGTGGAGAGGCCAGGAATGCTGTTACTGGGCCCGGGGCCACCTGGCTCTTGTACTGTGTGACTCATCGGTCACGTTCTGTCCTAGAGTTAGGGCTTTGGCCCTGTGTCTGTGGCGGGGGCTACACCCTGGAGAAGCACATCCAGCCAGGAGCCCTGGGGCCTGGAGAGTAAAGGGGGACGCACAGAGCAGAGCACTTAGAGACAACAGGAAGAATAAAGTGAGGGAGTAAACAGTAACAGGAAAGAAACTTAGAGTCTTTTATTGGTACATTTTAGGCATACAGTACAGCTACGTTCATCACTGGGATCCTGTACCTTTACATGACAGGTCTTAGTTCTCATTTTTCCCCCTTGTCCCTGCCCTCCCTTCACCTCCTCCTCATCTCCCCCTTTACAAACACTTCATTTCCATTTTTTCATTTTCTCATATTTTTTTCTTTTCCCTTATTACCTTTCCCCTACCCTTCCCACTTTCCCTACACCTTCAGCCCCTTTCTTCCTATTTCACATGGTCAATTATCTCCTTAGGATCTTACGTACTGTTATAGTTTATTCACACCAGAGAAACTATTCGGTAGAAACTTAGAGTCTTAAGAGTATTACTAAGAGCCCGGTGTGGTGGCGCACGCCTGTTACCACAGCACGCTGGGAGGCTGAGGCAGGTCTCACTGTGTAGTTCAGGCTGGCATCAAACTCAAGGCAATCCTCCTGCCTCAGCCTCCTGAATGCAGAGAATTGCATCCAACTCGAGTGTAATACTTCCTGCAAGATGAACCTCACAGCCAGGAGGGAAACTGAGCACCAAGGACCTCTGTCTCCTACATCGTCAGATGTCCCAGGTTCCAGAGATCCAAAGGAAGGCCCAGCAGTAAAACCTTTTAGCCACTTAGGCAGGCCGTCTGTCAAATCTAGAAGTAGAGCGTGTGGCACAGGAATAGTGCAGCGCAGTAACTCTGCAGAGGGTACAGGGGGGCTCCGCCAGGTTACAACCCCATTGTGGCTCTTCTCTCTGTCCCGAGGGATTTGGGGTGAAGAGCCATCTGATTTACTTCCTGCCAGACCTGGCCCAAGGTCCAGGGTGGGGGCTGGGAGCGTTCCTCCCTCATAGGAAAGGGAAACTTCTGCAGGCCCATGGCTGGTGCTGAGCTGCTCTGACAGGGAGCACGCAAGAAGGGGTCAGGGATCTTGAAACAGTGGCCAACACCTGAGTGTACACTGTGCACGATGAGGCAGAACACACCCGGGCCTGGCGGCGCACACCTGTGAGGCCAGCACTCAGGAGGCTGAGGCAGGAGGGCCACTACGAGTTTGGGGACAGTCTGGGCTACAGACCGAGAGCCTGTCTCAAACCAAAGCACAAAACAAGCAAAATACACATCTGCACAAAAAAGGATCCCAAGCCAGAAGGCATCCAACTAAACAAATCGCATAGAGAGTTCTGCTCCCTGTCTAAATGTCTCCATGTTTGGGAACAGTGAAGATGCCACTCTTTTTTCTTTATCTCCACAGAAGACCCCTGTCCAAGCCAGGTGACCCCTTTCTGTGTCTAGATCGCCTGTGAAAGGACCTTTATTTCTGGCGTCACAAGAGCAGGCGCAAGAAGCCTCCCAGGGGACTGCATTTTGATTCTGACATCTTCTCTGTTTCCTCCTATTTCGCCCTTGTCTTGATGATTTTCACCGATCATCCTGTGGTTTGGTTTCAGTTGTCCTTTGTTGCCAGGATGGAGCTATCTTGGTTGGATGGAGGTATCATGGTTTAAGTATGTGGTGTCCTCTGGGGGATCATGCATGGAGGGCTGGATCCCCAGCAGCAATGTTGAGAGGCGGGACCTGGAGAGGTGGCTGAATCATGAGGTGCAATGGAGTCATCCACTGGTGAGTACACAGCCACACAGCTGGAGGAAGCAGGTCACTGTGCTGTGCCTTTGAAGGGGACCCCCGTCCCTGTCCGCAGCACCCCCTCTTTTCCTTCCTGGTTCCCATGAAGAGAGCGGCTCTCCTTCCTTGGTACTAACCGTGGACCTGACCCTCTGCTACCCTGAGCCCAAGCAAACCCTTCCTCCGTCCGTTGTGCGTGTCAGGGTCTACGTCCCGATAACGAAACTCTGGCTGGCAGAGGGAAGCGGAGACATCTGGGAGTTGGTGTTAGACCTTTTCACCACGCTGGACCACACAGCTGAGGGGCTCGGTCTCGCTCTGGAGGGCAGCAGCCCCGGAAACCACAGTGCACCCCCAGGCGGCAGCAGGAAGAGGTACAAGCCCGGTTGCTTGTTGAGGCTGCATTTCAGCAGAGTTCACAGAGTATGACAAGGAAAACAAAACAAAATCAATACAGGTAAACCAAATTCATTTGAAATAATGATCCTGAATCAAGAAACATAAGCTTCCCATGGTAATATCCACGTGTATCGCAGATAATCAATGAGATTGGCCGTGGTGGCGCACACCTGTCATCCCAGCACCTGGGAGGCTGAGGCAGGAGGATCGCAGGGAGTTCGAGGCCAGCCTGGGTGACATAGTGAGACCCTGTCTCGAAGCAACAACAACAGCAAAAAAAGATAATCAACCAGAAATCAGTTGGAGAATGAGTTTAGTTTTATCCAAAAACCACGTTTAAGAGAAGAAACAGACTGGATAACAAAAAGACACCAAGCAGCCCTGATTAGAAACTTTAGGTCCACTCACAGCTGGTAAAGAAATTTGAATATCTTGTGGACATAATAACTTAACATTAGATCTTGGCTAATCTATACACTAAGACACATCGGAATTGTAGGAATTTCATACAGCTTTGGAACATTTTCATAGTATGGAATAGTAGTGCACACACCTTTAATCCCAGCATGTGGGAGGCTGAGGCAGGAAGATCAGCATGCAGTAAGGCCAGCCTGGGCTATGTAGTGAGACCCTGTCTCAAAAAAGAAAACAAATAATGAATTTATATAAATATAGGTCTAACGTGTGTCTTATGGACTTTGAGGGGCCCTTTGGAAATCCCAACATTAGTTCTAAACCCTAAAGTCTTAATTTCAGTCTGTTAAGTTTAAAACATGTAGTTTAATGGGATCATTATGAAATAAGATCAAGGTGTTAAAACAGGGGCTGCAGATGTAGCGCAGTGGCACTGCGCCTTCCTCTCAAGCACAAGGTCTTGAGTTTGATCCCCAGTACTGACAAAAAAAAAAAGCCCCAAACACTTTTTTTTTTCAGATGGGGTCTCACTGGGCCGGGGATTTAGCTCAGTGGTGCCACCGCCTGCCTCGCAAATGCATGGACCCAAGTTCGCGCCCCCGTACCAAAAAAAAAAAAAAAGAACAGAACAGATAGGGTCTCACTATGTAGTCCAGGCTGGCCTTGACCTCATGGTGATCCTCCTGTCTCAGCCTCCTGAGTGAGGAGGTTTCAGGTGTGCACCAGCATGCCTAGACAAAACAAAGAGTTTTAAAGATACAAAACACAATGAATAGAGCCGAGGATTTAGCTCAGTGGCACCGCAGGGGGCATCTGCCTTATAAACTCAAGGTCCTGAGTTCAATTCCCAGTACCCAAAGCAAAACACAATAAATAGCCGGGGTGGTGGTACATGCCTGTAATCTCAGCACTTGGGAGGCTGAGGCAGGAGGATGGTCATGAGTTCGAGGCCATCCTGGGACACACAGTGAGTTCAAGGCCAGCTAATAGCAAGACTCTGCCTCAAAAAAAGAAAAGAAAAGAAAGAAAGAAAAAAGAAGCCCACAGTAAACAATAAAATGATTTTTTAAGGCAAGGTACCTAAAAAGTGAAGAGGAAAAACACAATTTCCTTATTAAGAGCAGATGAAAAAAAAAAGCAGATCAGTGTGTTTAAATTCAGGGCACAAAATTGAGTTCTGCAATGCACTTTTGGCATGTGTTCAGCCGCCACGAAAACTTGGAAATCACGTGCGTCTGACCACATCTGAAGCCTTCAACCAAGCTCTGTTCCCGAGAGGGCAGCCTAGGTCCCGCTGAGAAAGGCTAGGGACCCAATGGCGATCCTCCTGCCTCAGCCTCCTGAGGGCTGGGATCACAGGTGTGCACCACCACACCCCGCAAGGTGTGGGGCAAGAGAGTCAGCAGTTGATTCTTAGAAGGGAAACAGAGGGCCCTGTGGGATTCTGGCTCTTTTCATGTCCTCGGTTGGCTACTCATGTGTGGTGACATTGTCCTGGACACACAACCTCCAGGAGTGTGAACTTGACAAACAGGTTGTGCAAGGAGCCAGACCCCCACCTCCCCTTCTAAGGAGCTCTGGGCCTTTCTGGCTTCCTGTCTCCCAGGGATCCTCAGGGCGAGACCTCTCTTCCCTGGTTCAGACTCACACTCACGTGTAGGACCCAAAAGAAGCACACAGATACACAAAACTATCTTCAAAGTGTCTCCGTTTCCTGACAGGCAGGGTTCTTTTGCTTTCAGCTGCATAAAAGCAAAATACCATCACGTATGACGCCGTCAGTATACAGTACCTGTAACACCAGCCATCAGGAAGCTGAGGCAGGAGGATCGCTGCAAGATCAAGGCCAGACTGGGCTACGTGGTAAGACCCCTGTCTGAATCTTACCCTTCCCCAAAAAAATTTCTATTCTAAAAGGATACAAGGTTCCAGTGATCAGGAAGAAGCAGAAAAGGCAAATTTAAATAATGAAGGAACCAGCAGGAAAACAGGCTTGAAAGACAGCAAACAAAATGGGACGAGTGAGGAAACCCAGATCTGGGAACCAGGACCGCGGTCTGGCCGCGGGCATTTAAGCCACCTGGCAGCTCACATACGAGGTAGTTCAGGTGGTTTTTAGACAAATACACACACTCACAAATGTACACACACACACACACACACACACACACACACATCTCAATATATATTCCAGGCTGATCTTGAGCTCAGGGCGACCCTCCTGCCTCAGCCTCCTGTGTGCTGAATCACAGGCGTGTGCCACCTTCCTTCTTCCTCCCGAGGAGTTTTTCTCTCCAGGAACAGAATCCTGTGTTTCCTCTCTCCGCCATCAGGCTTGTTCTAGAATATTCCCCCTGCAGGAGTGCGAGGTCCCTGTCACCTCCCACCCCATGTGCGGGATCCCCACGAAAGAACCCAACAGGCCCAGTGGCTGAGGCAGCCGTCATTTGTGGAAATCCAACACAAGGCCAGGCAGTGCCGTCGCAGAGCTATAGCGGTTACTATAGAACAGCACTGGCTTTTTTAATGAATATATTTTAAATATGTATTTGCTCGTACTATTAGTATGTGTGTGATAATCTTCAATCTCCTTGTGTGGGCACAGACACAGCCTTCCTACCCGAGGAACAGCCCCTCTCCCCACTTCCTGTTGCCTTCTCTTTTGCCACCGCCTGGCCTCACAAGTTCCATCCCCGGTACCAAAACAAGACCTGTTGAAAGCGGTGAGTCTGAGTTACTTGACTGAACAGGATAGCCCCAAGGAGCATCTGTTTTCCTACAAATGACTCGAGCCCACCCTTCTTCACGACACAGTAATACTCCACTGCATGTAAAAACCCCGTCATCCTTACCGGTTCCTTTGTCGATGGACTTGTGGGCCGTCTCCCAGGTTTAGCTACTATGTGTTGGGCTGCCGTGAACGTAGGGTGCCTGGGTCACTGTATGTGATGACTTTAACTCTTTCGGGAGGTCCCTAGAAGGGGAACAGCTGGGTCAAATGGCATTTATGATTTTATCAGTCCGGTCAGCTGACGGTATCACATGTCAATCTCTCCTCAGTGCTTTTTGTTCACAGCTCAGAAGTCTTACTTTTTTGAGACAGGTTCTCACTATGTAGACCATGCTGGCCTCCAACTCCTGCGATCCAATCCTCCTGCCTCAGCCTCCCAAGGCACGTGGGCCACCACGCCCAGCTTGACTCCTCTTCCCCTCAGGGAAACTTTCACCTAAAAAGAGATTTAAAGGCAAGTTCTTTCAAAACGAGTCAGCGACATAGTTCTGATTCTTGCTGAGCCTTGGAAGCTGCACCAGATTCCAGACTGGGCATCACCAGGCCCTGCGGAGAGGCTCAGGGAACCCTACTTCCTGTCCTGCCCCGAACCCGTAGGCTGAGCTGGAAATGAAAGCAGGGCTTTCACCAGCTGCAGTGCCCCACACCGGACGCGGGAAGCTCAGGAGGAGCACGGAGAGCGAGAGTGAGTCTCTCTCCCTTGTGAGCCCAAGATCACTGACCTTGCTGGAAGCTGGGCCTCAGGTCATCCCGGCACTGAGGAGGCTGAGGCAGGAGGATCCTGAGTGTTCAAGGCCAGCCTGGGCTACATAGTGAGTTCAAGGCCGGCTTGAACTACATAGTGAGACCCTGTCTCAAATCAAAGAAAGAAAGAAAATATAAAATAAAATTTTTGGGAAAACAACTTTATTTGGGGGCTTCGGTACCAAATGGGAGCTGGAAGGGCGCTCAGGCCGCTCCTGGCCTCGCAGGCTGCTGGGGAGGGCAGCTGTCTCCCAAGGCCGGCTCTCCGGTTCTCCGGCACACTGCGGAGGCCCCATGCCCGTCCCCACCCGGGCTGTGAGGCAGGGTTCCCGGAAGCCTGCCTGGGCTGGGTCGCCTTGCTCCACACGGAGGTGGGGGCGCATTGGAAAGTGGGGACTCTCCATCTCCCTGCTGTCTGGAAGCCACCACTCCCTCTCCTGAGTTCTCTGGGGACCCCACAAGCCCAGCTGCTCCATGCTCCTCCCCTCCTGCATCCTCCTGGGATGGGCTGGCCCTTCTGACATGCCGTCTGTGATCCTCCTGCCTCAGCCTCCCGAGGGCCGGGATGATGGGTGGGCACCGCAGCAGGCTGAGGAGTTTGACATTCAGCCTTAAAAAGACAGTGCCAGAGGTTGGCCTCCCAGGTCCTGGGCATGGCTGAAATTACCCAAGGATTTTGAATTTACTTAGGAAATTGCCAGTTTGTCAAAGGTGCCAGCTAGAAACCGGCCCACAGCCCTGGAAGAGCGGAAGCCCTGCTTGGCCACAGGACAGCAGCAGCCACGGTGGCAGGGCCGAGGGCCCCAGGGAGAGGCCACCCTTGGTGGAGCCAGGATTGTGGCTGTGAGGGCTGTGTGCGGGCAGCCTCAGGGGCCAGGCCACCCCCATCCTGGGCTGCTGTGCCTGGCCAGGACTCAGTACCCAGGACAACAGGCACCTGGGACCACACCAAGGGTTTTCCCAAGGTTGGGTGCCATGTGCTTCAGAGGGAGTCTGAGGGAGTCCCAGCCCCTTTGATGGCCCCCAAAGTGTGATCAAGGCCACCTCATGTGGTGGTGCACACCTGTCATCCCAGTACTGGGGAGGCTGAGGCAGGAGGATTGCCTGGAGTTCGACGCCCGCAGCCTGGGTGACATAGTGAGTTAAAGGCCAACCTGAGTTATACGGCAAGAGCCTGGGACAAAAAAAGCAAAAGAAAAGTACAATCAAGCCCTAGGTTTTCAGAGCCTCCAGGATTCCTGCAACATCACAGGAAGCTCGATTGGCGGAGAGCAAGTGACCAGCCCTGGCCCTGATGAGCAGTGTGCCCCATCATGTCCTCCCCGACGCCCATGGCTGTCCCCAGTCCCCTCTGCCCTGCAGCCAGCGTGCAGCTCTGGGCTTGCTGCCTGTGTTTGTTTTAACGCTTGATGATCCTCCTGCCTCAGTCTCTCCAGTGCTGGGATGACGGGTGCGGACCACTGGACCCGGCTCATAATTTTTAAAAATACAGCCAGTTGCCAGTTGTTTTTATTTGATTTTTAATTTATTTTATTGTCATCAACGGGTGTCTAGAGTACAAGATCCCCCCGGGAGGTGGTGGCCGCCCCTGGCTCTTTTCCTTCTTGTTCCTGTCCTCACGGTCTCTAGCAGGGTTCCTGAGGCTCACAGGTGCTAGGTACCCTCACGGGGACCCCACCCCGACTCGGTAGGAGCGGGGGCGGGGCGAGAGCCGGGCGGGGGTGCAGCGGGGACGCAACCTCCGCAGCGAGGGCCGGAAATCGCAATGTGAGTGCGCCGGGCCACCGGGGGAGAAGGACGAAGAGGTCCGAGGTGGAAACCAGGAAGTGGGAGCCGGGCTGCAGCGCTTGCTCAGTGTGCATCTTGGTTAACCGCGCCGTGCGAGGCTCTCAAAGCCTGAGAAGCAGGGGCAGGGAGCGCAGCGAGAAGCCGGCGACTGGTCCCGCTTTCTGCCCAGCCTCGATGGGCCCTTTCCCCTCCGGGGTGTGAATAAACTGCGGAAGCCACTGGGTCCCCAGCCAACAGGTCTGTCCCAGTCGCCGGGTTCTGAGCGCTGACTCCCTGCGGCCCTGGAGCCCCAGATTCCCGTCCCAGCTCCTCCCTTGCTAGCTGCTCGCTCTTCTCTGCCTCAGTTTCCTCCTTTGCACTCACCTCTCAGTGCCACGGTGGCAGAGGACGCTCAGGTCACCGCCGCCGGTGGGACAGCGGCATCGCAGGCCTTTACGCGTGGAAGACCAAAGGGACCGACCGGGGTTCTGGGCGTGGGAAGCTGCTGACTGAGCGCAGAGAGAGTCCGGTCAGGGCGGAGGGTGGGGTGCTAGGCGGCGCCGCCCCAAACCTCGCTGCTTTCTCCACCTGCCCAGCGCGGCTCAGGGGACTTGCGTTGTGCGGTCGACGGAGTGGTTACCCGGCCGCGCGCTCCGGGATGACTTCCAGCGGGTGAGTGTCCGCGCGCACGGGTGACGGTCGCGGCCCCAGCCCGGCCTCCACTGGGACCCCAAGAACAGAGTCCCAGGTGTTGGGGTAACAACCCGACGTGGAGGTCGTCCGTGGGGACCGGGAATGTGTCGCGGTGGATCCGAGGGCGGGACCCGGTCTCGGGGGCGCGGGAAGGGCGCGACGGTATCGATTTATGATCAGGGCCGCGCGGACCGGCCGCAGAGTCAGGAGGGTCCCCAGCGGCCGCCGAGCCAGGCAGCGCCCCAGGGCCGTCCGCGTTCCCCAGGTTTTCCAAAGTCTCCGGAGGTGGCGGAAAGTCTGGTTTTTCCAGATCGGCGCAGCTTGGAGGCTGAGGGGGCGTCGTCTCCGCGGTGGCGTGCAGAGCCCGCCGGGGTTAATGTGGTGAGGAGGGGGCTGGCATTAAAAGGGCAAATTCATTTCTTTTTACATTTTCACGGTGGATTTGTGATACTAGGGCTTGAACCCAAGGCGCTCTGCCCCCAGCCCCATCCCTTTTTCGGAGAAAATTGTCCAGGCTAAACTCGCTTTTACACCCTCCTGCCTCAGCCTCCAGCTGAGGATTACGAGCGTCTGCACCACACCCGGTGTGAATTAACTTTGATAAACTACAAAGGAAGATCAGAAATATGTTTTATGCTCTATTTTAGACCCCCAAGTTTATTTTCTTTGACTTTTTCAAAGTCTGGGCCACATCAAATATCGATAAGGAACTTATCTTGGGAAACACAGTCGGGGTGCGTGTGGGACGATCAGAGAGGCGTCCACATCCAACCCGGAAGGAGGCGACCTCGAGACGTGGCTGCGGCTTTGGTCGCAGCCTCCCCTCCCCCAGCCTCGGTGGGGCCGGGGAGCCGGAGGCGCCGCCCCCGGGCTTCTCAAGATGCCGCTGGACTCGGGGTCAAGGCGCCGCGCTCTCCCCCGGACGCGCAGGTCAAGGCCAGGGATCGAACCGGGCGCTTTTCCTACCTGAGCAGGTCCGAGCTACATTTCTGGTTCCCAAACAAGAACACTGCACCTGGCCGTTTGCTTTGTTTTGCTATTTTTTGGATTTTTTTTCTTTTGCAGTACTGGGAAATCCAACCCAGGGGCGCACTGAGCTCCATCCCCAGCCCCAGAGAGCTTCTCAGAGACAGAAAGGGGTGCGGAAAGACGGTTGCCCGCCCAGCCCGCTTCTCAAAGGTGTTTCCTTGAGGCGGGTACAAGGTGGGACGAAACTATGGTCACCCTATAAGCGTTGGTCGCTCAGTCCCATCACGCGGGGCCCCTGGCGAGGGTGTGTGGACCGAGTCAGGATTTTCACAGAAATCTGCCCCACCAGGTGGTGAGGGAAGTGTGTGGGTGTGGTCTTTCCTCCCTTCCACATCTTAACCTTGAGTAAATGGCCTCACTTGCCCTCTGTATCCACTCCCTTGAGGCCCCTGCCTGACTGCCTGCCTTGTATATCTCCTAAATTTACCTGTCTATAATAACCCCGCCACTTTGGGATGCTGAGGCAGGAGAGTCTCAAGTCGGAGCCCAGCCTGGGCTGCACAGTGATTTAGCCAGACCTTCTCTCAAAATAAAAAGGGCCGGAGATGGAGCTCAACGCAGAGGCCCTGGGTTCGAACCCCAGTGCCAGAGTAAATACATAAATAGAACTCCGAGAGCTTCAGTTTATGTGCGTTATATCTACCGGTATTTAGCAGAATATGGGTTGAACCCGAGAACATTTGAATGCATTTATAAAGTCATTACAGTAACAAGCCTGAGCATAGAGCTCAGTGGTAGGGTGGCTGCCTGGCAGGTTTAAGGTCCTCAGCTCCATGCCCAGCACCACAATGAACAGACCATTCATTCAGATGCCCACACGTTAATGAAAGCTAATTATAACCAATGGAAGGCTGCAACTGAGGCTTTGCTTCCCCTTGCATTACTGAGTCTGCTTGGTAGTTCCCAGCCAGCCATAAACCCTCCTGTCCCCTCGCCTCACCCTGAGGGCTCAGAGTGAAGTAGGGGGAAGACATGTAACTCCGAACCTGCCAGGTCTCCAAAACGCGAGTTCGTGTCCTCTAACATCGAAGGATGAACTCTAGGAGCAACAGAGTTGTTAAGAGTAGGAAAAGATTTGTTAAGAGACAGACAGCCTCTGTCTAAGAGGGACAGAAAACGGGCCACCCGCTGATCCTTCTTACTAAAGGTGTTCGATGGGACAGAGCCACGAGGTGAGGTAGGTTCAAGGTGGGACAAAACTGTAGTCAACCAGTAAGACTGCAAGTAAGGTCGCTTGGGTAATGAGATCCAATGGGAAATCACACAGTGGACAAAGTTAGGATCAACCAATAAGATTATGGCAGGGCTGGGGAGTTAGCTCAGTGGCACCCTGCCTGCCTTGAAAGTGCAAGGTGCTGAGTTCAGTCCCCGGTAGCCAGGAAAAGGTATGGCAGGTAAAGTGGTTTAGGTATTATATTAAATGGGGATCCAATAGGGGAGCGAGTCACATAGCAAGGATACAAAGAACCGGAAGGATTTTCAGTGAGGGGTGGGTCGGGGCTCTTTCCGGGAAGATCTCCGTCCTCCACCCGAGTAATTTATCTATGTGGCTGTGCTGGTTTCTCTCCTTTTACAATGCCGGCTATCAGTGTGTGTTTCTTGATCCTCCTCCATGTTAGCACCGCCTAACTGCCTACGGGATATCTATTAACCTGCCTGTCTGCGACGGGAGCCATGGAGCCTCAGCACACTTCTTCCAGGACTCTGCAGGTCACCGTCCTTCAGAGCCACGGGGAGGCTGGGGATTTCGCTCAGTGGATCCAGCGCCTGCCTCCTCAGAGCAAGGACCCGAGTTCGATCCCGGGTACAAAAACAAAAAAAAAAAAAAAAAAAAAAGAAAGAAAGAAAAAAAAAAAACAAGCAAGCAAGCAAGCAAGCCACAGCAGGGGTCAGGCAGAGAATTTCGGGGTGAACTCAGGAAGGGCGTGGGGCTCGGACAAAAGCGGAGTCCTGCAGACAGGAAGTTGAGATCTTGAAGTGCTTTGGGTGGTAGAGATCTGTGGACTTTTCTAACTGAGAGATGGACAAACGGCCACGGGAAGATATTGGGGAAATAGTCCTTGTTCCCCAGGGACGGGCCATCTCCTCACTTTGGCGGGGGCTGGGATTTCCTAGGCTTATTGTGTTCTGAGATGAGGGAGAGAGAGAGAGAGAGAGATTGAACTAACTGGGCTAGAGTCCCGAAACTGCAGTTTTCATCTGAAAAAAACATTTGTCTGTTTTTATTGCAGATAGCTAAGCTAGAAATTATTATACGGTGGTTAGACAAAACTGGGCCCTCAGCATAAAAAACAGTTGAGGCACATCCACCAGTTGGCATCGTAAAAAGAGAGAAACTACTACACCCATGTACTTTCCCTGGGGATGGACAGCACTGATTGATATTTTAAATAGGGATCCATCACCATCACCGGGGTGGGGACCAATACTTTAACCCATCCCTTACCAAAAATCCTTCTTCCGGTCCTTGTACCTTTCTACATGGCCTGCTTCCCCATTGGATCCCCATTTAATCAATATTACCTAAGTGACTATACTTGTCATAATCTTATTGGTTGACCAGTTTTGTCCCGCCTCATACCCACCTGCAGATTTCCCATTGGACAAATACTACCTAAGCAACTGTACTTGCAATCTTACTAGTTGAATACAGTTTTGTGCTTCCTTTTGTTTTTGTTTTTGTTTTTGTTTTTGTTTTGAGACAGGGTCTCACTATGTAGTTGAGACTGACTGGAACTCACTGTGTAGTCCAGGCTGGTCTGGAACTCACAGGGATCCTCCTGCCTCAGCCTCCCGAGTGCTGGGATTACAGGCGTGCGCCACCACTTGGGGCTGTGCTTCCTTGACCCCTCCTCATCTCATGGCATTGCTCCATAAAAACACTCTGGGAAACAGGGTACTCCTTCTGTCTCTCTTAGAGAGAAGTTATTTTTTCTCAATAAAATTCTCTTACTTTTTTCTTTTCTTTCTGCTACTAGGAATCAAACTGGACCTTGTGCTTGCCAGGCAGGCACAGCACCACTGAGCTATATCCCTGGTCTTAATTTTTCCTACTCTTTTTTTTTCTGGTGAATGAAATTTTTATTTACATATTGTATCTAGATTTTCTTCCCTACTCTTAACCTCTGTTATTCCTACAATTGATTTTTTTTTTTCTGGTTTTTTTGATACAAGGCCTCACTATGTAGTCAAGACTGACCTGGAGCTCACTATGTAGCCCAGGCTGGTCTGGAACTCACAGCGATCCTCCTGCCACAGCCTCCCGAGTGCTGAGATTACAGGCTTGCGCCACCACACCCAGCCCTACAGATTTTCGAGAACACAAACTTGTATTTCAGATATCCAGCAGGTTTGAGAGTTACATCTATTCCCCCCACATCATTTTTCCTAGGGTTTTTTTTTTTTTTTTTTTTTTGGTACGGGGATTGAACTTGGTCCTTGCGATTGCAAGGCAGGCGGTGGAACCACTGAGCTAAATCCCCGGCCCCTCCTAGTTTTTTTTATTCTTCTACCTCAATCTGAGAGTACTGCCAGGCTAAGGCAGGTTGCCCACCACCCAGAAGCCCATATCCAGGCCCTGGCCCTTGGTAGCAAAGAACTGGGGTGAGTCTACGGCCAGCCCTTTTGCACATGGAAGAACTGCTGTCTTGTGTGTGTGTGTGTGTGTGTGTGTGTGTGTTTGGATGGTTTTGGGTTTTGGAGACAGGGTCTCACTATATAGCCCAGGCTGGCCTCGAATTCTTGGTGATCCTCCTGACTCAGCTTCCTGAGTGCTGGGACGACAGGCTTGTACTGCCTGCTGCACCCCACTCGGAGTGATTGTCTGAGTAACTCAGTCTCAGGGGATTCTGGAGCACAAGGGGCTTTACAGAGTGGGGCAGATCCCCGACCTCCAGAGTTTTCGCAACCGGGTTTCTGGTCCATCTGCCCTGTGTTATTTATGCACAGGGTAGCGGGTGGGTTCACATTCTGATTTCACCCCAGAGTCAGCTGACGTTCTGAAGGAAATGTACTTAGCAGTTCACATTTTAGCCATGTGGGTGGGGCTCCCCTTAGAATTTAGTGTTGGGCCAAAGGGAGGGGATGGCAAAGAGAGGAACCAACCTTGCCAAGGAGGGAAGGGAGGGAGGGGAAGTCCAACCATAAGGCCCTTATTACTTCCGCTGGGGAGTGACGTGTGGGACACGTATATTAACCACAAAGGTGTGGAGGCCTGGACTTGGAGAATTGGGGAGCCACTTGGAGCCTTCGGACAGGATGCCCCCCTCCAGAATCTCACTGCGTAGCCCAGGGTAGCCTCGGCTCCAGACGATCCTCCTGCCTCAGCCTCCCCAGTGTGTGCGTCGCCACATCTGGCTTCTTCATCTTTTTCTTTTTTCACCATCTTATCACCAGGCCACAGCCCTGGTTCTGCTCCCAAATCACTTTGGAATAATTCCACTCATCCAACGTCACCATCTTGATGTCTATTTGAATATTTCTGTCTTTCTCCTTGTAGGCATTGGCTTTTGTTTTGGTTTCATTTTGTTTAAACTGTTTGAAATAAGCTCTGTCCTGGACGGGTCTTGAAAGCGAGGTCTTCCGAGCTTCGCCACCGTGGGAGCTGGGGTTACAGAACGCACCACTGTGCCCAGCTGTCTCCTTGGGCCCTTCTTTGCCCTCATTGTGAAGGTTCACAGAGGTCATTGTGGTAAAGCACACAGAAACCATGAAGTTAATTTTGTTGGTTTGGTGTTTGAGACAGGGTCTCATTATGTAGCCCAGGCTGGCCTTGAACTCACAGCGATCCTCCTGCCTCAGCCTCCCACGGGCTGAGATGGCAGGTGTGCGTTGCCACACTCGGCTGATTATGAAGTTTATTTCTAAAGCAGAAGGGAAGCCTTGGTAACCTGGCTTCTGCAGGGTGCACAGGGCTGGGCGGGCATGGTTACTGCAGCCCCGAGTGTGTCAGGAGCCCCCTCCGGCAACTACCTCCAGCTCTGTCCATGGAACCTGAGAAGCCCTTGGCAGAGTCACAGCCTCATCTGGCCGGAGAGCACTAGGAGGCACAGTCCTTTTCCTCATTTCGTGGTTGGCTTAGCTTTAGTGCTTTGTGGCTCTCTCTTGCATTTTTTTTTTTTTCTTCCGGTACTAGGGACTGAACCCAGGGCCTTCTCACTGAGGTACATCTCCAGACCTTTTTGGTTTTTATTCTTATTTTAAGACGGGAACTCGCTAAGTCCCTAAAGGCTGGGCACAACTTTGCGATCCTCCTGCCTCAGCCTCCCTAGTGCTGGGGTTACAGGTGCGCCCACTCCTGGCTGCTCCCTGCCCTCTTGCAGTGCCGCCAGGGTCACCTTCTGCTAAGCGGGAGGAGTGCAGTGAGCGCCCAGCGGGCTGCTCTAGACGGAAAGCGCGGCAAGGGTTTACCCGGGACCAGCCAGGTTCTTGGGCTCATCCAGGATCCCCACCCCATTTCCAGGAGTGTAAACCAAGGAGCCTTGGACGTCTCTGTTTTCGGTTTTAAAGAAAACTCCATGCTGTTTCCTGCAAAGGCTGACCTCATTTACAAACCCCAGCAGTGTATAATGGTTCCCTTTTCCCACATAGTTGCCTGCACATTATTTTTGTTAGGTTGGGGTTTTTAAAAAAAATGTTTTAGGTAGGTGGGGTTTGAGATAGGGCCTCTCTAGCACATCCTGGCCTCCAACTCAGCGATCCTCAGCCTCCCAAAGAGGAAAGAGTACGTGCATATTCTTTGTTAATTTTTGTTAGATGTTCAGAAACTTGACAATTTTTTAATTACTTTAGCTATAATAACAAAGCTTTTTTTTTTTTTTTTTTTTGGTTTTTTGGTTTTTTGAGACAGGGTCTCACTATGTAGTTGAGACTGACCTGGAACTCACTATGTAGCCCAGGCTGGTCTCGAACTCACAGCGATCCTCCTGCCTCAGCCTCCTGAGTGCTGGGATTACAGGCGTGCGCCACCATGCCCGGCTTATAACAAAGCATTTTTATCTTTCAAAAATGACTACATCCAAGCCCATATTCTACATATTCTGTTGGAACAAAGGACAATTTTTTTTTTTACTAAAAATATTGAATAATCTCCACTCAGGTTTTCCCAGGCTGGCTGTTAAGTTTAGCACCCAAAAATAAACATTCAATTAACGCTAAGCCTTTTGTTTTTTGTTCTAGAAGCATGAAAGAAGTGTACTTCCATACAGTGTAGGTTTTCAAAATCAAGGTTCATAAGTACACACAGTGAGGCTGACAGGAGAGGAAAAATGCTCACCATTAAAGTTGGTTAAAGTCTAACCCTAAACCATCAGTCCCAAGGTGTGATTGCCCCAGGACAAACAGCAGCTGGGAGCATGAAATAACCCAGATCCGGCAGGCAGGGAAGGAGTGAGGCACAGGCCCACCGAGAGCTTCCAAGTCTCGGGATTTTGGTTCTACAGGATAGGAAAAACAGCCAATTATTGGAGCCAATTATTTTGGCCCTTAATCTCACTCAATTTCTTTCTTTCTTTTTTCAGTGCCAGGGATCCAACTTGGCCCTCGCACTTCGAGGCAGGCAGCGGAACCCCTGAGCCAAATCCCTGGCCCTCACGCAATTTCTTTTTCATTGGCTTGTTGATTAGCTGGGTTTTGTTGCACTTGTTTTTGTTTTTGAGGCAGGATCTTACTCTGTAGCCCGGGCTGGCTTCCAATGCCTGGTGATTCTCCAGCCCAGCCTCCCCAGGGTTAGGACTACAAACCATACATCACTGCCTGGCTGGTGAGTTGGTTTTGAGCCAGGGTCTGGCTAGGGAGCCCAGGCTGGTCTCGAACTCCTGAGCTCAAATGATTCCTGAGTAGCTGGGACTACAGCTGTGCACTCCTGCACGCACAGAATCTCCTCTGTATGACCAGGATCCTGGTGTGGGAGAGGACATAAAGGCGGAGAGAGTTCTGGTAGTGACCTGGGGTGGGTGTGGGAAGAAGTCTAGATGCAGATGGAGGTAAAGGAGGAGGAGAAAGGGTCTCACTATGTAGCCCTGGCTAGCCTGGAACACACAGCAATCCTCCTGCCTCAGCCTCCTGAGTGCTGGGATTACAGGCATGCGCCACCATGCCCAGCTGCTCAGTTTCTTTGCCTCCGGAGGCCTTCAGGTAGCTATCACACTTGGCTATAACTGGACTACAATTTGAGTGGCTTTGAGACTTTTTAAACATTCCCATGTAGGGGCTGGGGGCTGGGGATTTAGCTCAGTGGTTCCGCCGCCTGCCTCGAAAGCGCAAGGTCCTGGGGTTTGATCCCTGGCACCAATAAATAAATAAACAAACAAACAAATAAATGAATGAAACGAAAATTTCCACATAGGACTGGGGATGTTGCTCACTGATGCAGTCCCTGCCTGGCAAGCATGAAGCCCCGAGTTCCATTCCTGGTACCCAAAATAAATAAATAACTAGTAAAAATTTCCACACTGCTGGGGAGACAGTTTGGTATAAGGCTGCCTTTGAATGACTGTTACGGAAGGGGAGGAGACGGCAAGTGACACACAGCAGGATGGAAGTAAAATAAAAAAAAGTTTGCTCCATCAATGGGGATCATCACACCTAATGGGGTGCCCTGACCACCCGCCGCTGGGTTACAACCCCTTCTTTTATGGGGTTTTACAGCTTTGATCTTTCTCAGTTGGTTACACTGCATTTCACAGATGCCCACAACGTGATAGCAAGGCAGTTGAATTCCAACCGGATGCAGTTCTTTGTCAGGGAAGTTACCTTTAAGATTCATTCAGTTACCTACTCTAGCCAGGGGGAAAGGAGCTTGTTTGATTAACAAAGCTAACATCGGTTCTTTCCCTTACAAAGTTTTGTGAGAGATTCGGTGTCTCTGGTACCAGTTAATTCTGAACTAAGCAGAGCGAGGGGCAGAAGTTATCTTATACTGTGACATTTCCTAAGTTTTCGCTATTAAAGTTTTCCCTATCAAGACAGTGTGAGAATACATGATAAACTGTTTCTGTTTTATTGCAGCTTCCTGTACTGCTTGTGGCGGGGTTTTTGTTTGTTTGTTTGTTTTGTACTAGGGATCAAACTCAGAACCTCGTGCTTGTGAGGCAGGTGCTGGAACCACTGAGCTAAATCCCCGGCTCTAAGAGCCCTTAAACAGAATGTGCTGCTCACCACCCCACATGAACACACATGTGCAGAATAGGACCCACCCCAGGGCCATGCGGATACCAGACAGGTGGGCACCACTGTGGTACACCCCTGCCTGCATTATATATTTTGCAACTTGATCTGCTAAGAACTGAGAAGCATCCCAGCACTTGGGAGGCTGAGGCAGGAGGATTGCTGTGAGTTCCAGGCCCAGTCTGTATTACACAGTGAGACCTTGTCTCAAAAAGACAAAAAAGGTGGTAGAAGAAGAGGAGGGGGAGGGGTATTTTAACAGAGGCTGGGACGTAACCTCAGTGCTGTGCTGCTTGCTTAGCTTGTGCAAAGGCCCTGGCTTCATCCTCTGCACACAGAGAGAGTTTAACTGCTTCTTTTTTGTGTCCCTGCAGCTTTAGGACCCTGTGGCTCCTCAAGAAGTTGGGGCTGATCCTAGGACTCTGCCTGGGCGTTGTGCTCATTGTGTCCAGAAGCGCCTTGCTTGAATCAGTGCTGCCCAGCCTCAAGCTAAAGAGCCCACTGCTGCCCACACCAGAGGTCCCCACGCTTAGCCTCCTACCCCAGCAGCAGCTCCGAGGCCTCTTCTCCCGGGACAAGCTCTGGTGAGGCCCTGGCATCCTCTCCCTGCCTCGTGTTTCACCTCTGTCCTGGCTCCTCCTGCGGCATCCTGCCCTGTGGTGCCCTTTGTTTGAGACAGAGTCTCACTGCGTAGCCCAGGCTGGCCTCAAACTCTCGGTGATCCTCCTGCCTCAGCCTCCCCAGGGCTGGGCCCACAGACATGCGCCACTGAGCCCAGTTCTCTTGTTCGTTTCAGGCTGTTCCCTAAAAACCAATGCACATGTGAAAACGCCCAGAGCCAAGGAGGATACAACTTCCGGAAGGCCTACAAGGAAAGCGATCTTCTGGGGGTGGATGCCAGGAGACACGCCGAGTACAAGCACTTCCAGAGGAGGTGACACGGAGGGGAGGGTGGAATTGATTGGGAACAGACAGGTGAAGCGGGTTGAGGACTTCGTTGTTTTCTTTGTACCGGGATCGAACTCAGGACCTTGCACTTCGAGGCAAGTGGCAGAATCACTGAGCTAAATCCCCAGCCTGAGGACTTTGTTCTTTAATGTAGCTTCTAGAGCTTTGCATGTATAAAATATTTCATAGCAAAAGGAAAAAAAGGTGCTGAGAGGAGGCACACGCCTATAATCCCAGCACTGAGGGAGGCTGAGGCAGGAGGGTACAAGTTTGAGTCCAGCCTGAACAACTTAGACCTTATGTCAAAATGAATTTTTATTTTTATTTATTTTTTGAGGCAGGGCCTCTCTCTTCCAGGCTGGACTTGGACTCACCATGTAGCCCAAGCTGACCTCAAACTCATAGCGATCCTCCTGCCTCAGCCTCCCTCGTGCTGGGATTACAGGCCTGCGCCACCTCACCCAGTGACTCTGCTTTTCTAAATGTGTTTCGCTGTAAATCGCTTCAGGAGTTTCTTGGAATGATAGGTGGGGAAGGGGCAGCTGAGGCTGTCTCGGGAGCATCCTGAGGACCTGGGCTCACATCCGCTTCTCCCGCAGAGAGGGGCTGCCGCAGCCCCTGCCCCTGCTGGCCCAGCCCAACCTGCCCTTCGGGTACCCGGTGCACGGCGTGGTGGTGATGCCGCTGAACACAATCCCCATCCCAGGTAGGTGCGGCCTCTGTGGAGACTGACAGTGGGCCTTCGCCCGGCTCCGAGCCAAAGGAGCGGATGGAAGTGGTCACTCTCAGGGCACCGACGTGGGTGCCTCTAGAATCTTGGGGTGAAGCTGGTGGGGAGTCCTACAGCCAAGCCCAGGGAGGGCATTTGGAAAGAACGTCAACAGCCAAGGCTGGTGGCCCCTGAGCCTGGCATCCCAGCACTCGGGAGGCTGAGACAGGAGGGTCTCAAGTTGGAGCTCACCCTGGGCAATTCAGTGACTTCGATAGGCCCTGTCTCAAAATTAAAATAAAGATGGGGGCGTGGCTGGGAGGTAACTCAGTGTGGAGGCCCTGAGTTCAATCCTTAGTCCCGGAAGGAGGAGGAGGAGAGAGAATGCATGTATCAGTCGGGGGACACTCACACCGCTAGCTCAGTGTCGTACCTGTTTTCAGAGCCAAGGGCAGGGTCACTGTGCAACCAGGGTGCCAGCCTCCTCCACTGAGCGCCTGGGAGGCAAACAGGCCCCCGACCCAGGAAAGACCTGTGTGTCGCCCTGGGTCACAAGGACACCTGGGATCCTGCGTGTCTTGTCGAGCCAGCAGAGCCTTCTCCACCAAGGAGCAGGATCCCAATGACCCAAGGCACCCGACACCCAGGTGTGGCAGCAATGCCCATCAACACTCACACTCAGGAGGCTGAGGCAGGAGGATCACTGCAAGTTCAAGGCCTGCCTGGGCTATATAGGAAGACCCTGTCTCAAAACAAAACAAAACAAACAATTGCCATTTGGGGTTGATTCTGTTATTGTGGTAAAAGCTACAGAACATGAAATTGACCTTTTTTTTTTTTTTTTTTTTTTTTTTTTTTTTTTTTTTTTTTTTTTTTTTTTTTTTTTTTTTTTTTTGTATGGGGGATCGGGATCCTTGAGCTTTTGAAGCAGGAGCCAGAAATACTGAGCTAAATCCCCAGCCCTATTTTGACCATTTCTAAGTGCACTGTTTGGGGCGTTAAGAATATTCTCACTGTCACGCAACCTTCTGTCACCATGTGAATGGCTAGAATTTCACTTTTCCCAGTGGGGACTGTCTTTTGTTATTGTTCTGTTTGGTTTGGTTGTGTAGATCCTCCTGCCTCAGCCTCCCGTGCTGGGCCCTGCTTTCTGTCCCTCAGTGTAATTCCTTCTGGGCTGTGTGTACTCACAGTGCCCAAAGCCAGGTGGGCACGGGGCCTTGGACACCTGGGTTGGGGAGGACAGTGCCCCTCTGGCAGCCCTGGTGGAGGGGAGTGACCACGAACATGTGACACTCAGAGGGGCTTTCAGGGATGTGTAGGAGTCCAAGAGGTCAGGGAGAGCCTCGCTGTCCTCTGATGGCATTCCTGTCCTTTTCCTATGGCCCCCAGGTCTCCGGTTTGAAGGGCCCGATGTCCCGGTCTATGAGGTAAGCGCCCCCTTGTCCTCTGCTCAGGACACCTGGCTTCCTCCTCCCACAGGGCCTTGCCCAAGCCCGGCCCTCCATCCGGTGAAGCCTGCGTGTCTGGGGGTTTCCCAGCACCGCCGGGGCTGGTGCTGACTCCCGGGTGACACGAAGTCTCACCAGAGGATGCAGACACCGCAGTCCAGGCGCTGCTGCGGCTTCTGCTGGGTGCTGCTCAGCTTCCTGTCGCTACCACAAACTTGGAGAGAGGGCGACTGGGGGTACAGAAGGTTCTGGCTTGAGCTTCTGAGGCTCCGCCCAGGGCGGCCGGCTGGGAACCAAGCAGCGAACAGAGCTCCCACTGGCCACCGCCACCTTGGGTAGTCAGGTTGGCCTTGAACTCACTGTCGTAGCCCAGCTGGCTTCAAACTCAAGGCGATCCTCCTGCCTCAGCCTCCCTAGTGCTGGGGTGACAGGCACACGCCACCATGCCTGGCATTTTTTTTTTAAGTCTCCTACTGAAACCTTTTATTCTGCTTTTGTTGATACGCACGGGGAACAGCTTTGCCCGTAATTCACTGCGGCCTGGACTCCGGGACATGATTCGTTTGTGTGCTGCTGAAGCCAGCACTCTCGGGGCCAAATAGAAGCAAAGCCAGACTGCATTTTCCTCGGGTCTGTGTGGCCGACGTGGGGCACCTCTCTGGTGACCTTTTCCATATTAAGGAGAAACCCTGAGTAGCGCTGATCTTGCCCCCAGAGATGAGGGACCAGTGGCGTTCAGTATGGGGCCCCACAAAAGGCTTGCCAGCTTCCTGCCCCGTTCAGCCCGGTTGTTCTGAAAACCCTTGGAGAAAGACTGAGACCCCGATCAGTCTGAGGCAGGATTGTGAGTTTTTACAATGTTCTCCGGAAAAAAACAAGAACTTCACCACGGCACCCGGGACACGTCCACAAATAAAGCCACCTCCAGAATGGGCGCCGCCGTTGGCAGAGACCCCTTAAGGTGACCCTGAAGGCCTAATATTTGGTCATCTGTTGGCAGCTAAGTCCTGGCCCAGACCCAACAAAGGCCAGGTATTGCTTTCTGTGCGCACGGTGGAAGGGGTCCACCATCCAAGTTTTGAAATCCAGCCCTCCTCATCCAAAGCACAGAATTACGACCGTCCCGACCTACACACACCTTGGGTTGCGATCAGAATTTTAGCTGTAACTTGCAACCAAAGTACAGCGTTATGGCTCAAATGCCAGCCACTTGTGGGGATACAGGTTTGACCTTAGAGAGTTCTGGAAGGAGCAGGACAGCATCCTCTTCCGCCTCCCTCCGCCCGGCTCTTTGGAAGGCGCTGGGACCCGTGGCCCCAGCTGAGACTCAGCTTGCAGGGAACTGTAGCTCTTTGGTAATCTTTCTCCGTTTCTTCCATGGCTGCTGGTCTGTGAGGTTCTCTCTCCTCTGGACACAATTTTGATGCCTGGATTTCAGTTTATAGGGGTTTCAGTCAGCAGCTAGCAAGACAAGAGGGCTGCTCACTGCACGGCGGTCAGAAAGCAAAGAGCTGTGGTTTTGTTTGTTTGAGACAGGGTTGTAAGACCTAAAGTCTCCCTTCCACTCCACGGAGCGTGAACCGCTGAAAAGGCCTCTGCGATGCTGGGTCCTAAAACCCAGCGAGGCTCTGGGAGCTCGACGGAGACACGAGAAACCCAGGAAGGAACACACCAGGTTAGATGGTAAATAGACCTTTATGAGTCTGGCCAGACGGCGCTCCCGGAGCCAGGTAGCTCCGAGAGGCAACTGCTCAGGGGCTGAGGTCCTTTTTATAGGGTTTTTCTAAATAAGAAAGTTCAAACATAGGTCAGGGCATTCACAGAACTATCAGAGGACCAAGCACACTGTTTATCTCATACAGGAAATGTTCTACGGTCACCTTTTGTCATACTATTTGTCCCTGGGCGGGCTGTTAGCCAAGTTAGCAATTAGCATATGAAGAAGCACAGTCTCTGGCCTACTAGCATGGAGTCGCTTTCGCTTATTCAAGTCTTACAGGTCTCCCTGTGCAGTCCAGGATGGCCAAGAACTCACTATGTAGCCCAGGCTGGCCTCAAACTCTATGGAGATCCTCCTGCCTCAGCCTCCAGAGTTCATGACCATGTCCAGCCATAACACGTCTCTTTTTTTAGCACCGGGAATCAAACTAAGGTCCTTGCGCTTGCGAGGCAGGCGCTGGAACCACTGAGCTAAATCCTTGGCCCTTATTTTGCTTTTGAACTTATTTACACTTCAAGTTTCTCATGTAAGAGAAACATGTCATATTTATGCTTGTGTGTCTGATTTATTTCTTAACATTATGATCTCAAAGTGCATCCGTTTCCCCACAAATGACTCATTTATCCTTTTTTACGGCACAGTAGTACTCCACTGCATGTAAGATCACATTTTCTTTATCCATTCATCCGCGGATGGACATATAGGCCACTTCTGAGATTTAGCTATTACGAGGTGTGCTGCTATAATCATGAGTTATGCATGGATCACTGCAATAGGATATCCTTAACTCTTTCGGGAAGATTTCCTAGAAGGGGAACAGCTGGGTCAGATGGAATGTCTAGTTTTGGTGTTGTGAGGAATCTCTGCATAGATCTCCACAGTGCGAGTGCTGGTTTACATTCCCGTGTGCGGTGTACAAGGGATCCTTTTCCTTCTCCCTCGAAGCCTCACCAGCATTTGCTCTTATCTGATTTCTTGGTGACGGCTTCTTGTTGGAATCTCAGTGTTGTTTTAATTTACATTTCTCTGATGGCGGTGATGAGAAGCAATGTTTCCTGTATTTATCAGCCATCTGTACTTCTGAGAACTTGTGCTTTTACTTGTTTTTTTTTTTTTTTTTTTTTTTTAGACAGGGCCTCACTATGTAGTCGAGACTGACCTGAAACTCACTATGCAGCCCAGGCTGGTCTCGAACTCACAGCGATCCTCCTGCCTCAGCCTCCTGAGTGCTGGGATTACAGGCCTGCACCACCACGCCTGGCTCACTCATTTTTTAATCCCTGAATTTTTCTTTTTTGTACTTAGGATCAAGCTGGACATTGAGCTTGCGAGACAGGCAGCAGAACCACTGAGCTAAATCTCCAGCCCTACTTGCTCAACATTTTTTGATTGTTTCTTTTATTCTGGGTTTATTTTATATTTTATTTCTTTAGTTCTTTATGAACCCTAGATACGAACCTTTCATAGAGGAATAGCTGGCAAACGTTTTTTCCCATGCCACACATTGTCTTTTCACTCTGTAGGTTATTTTCTTTGAGGGGGCTGCAATTTTGCTTTTAAAAATACCTTCACAACTGTGTCCAAGTGCACGGGGGGGCTGAGGCAGGAGGATTAGGTTCTAGGCCAGCTTGAGCTACCCACACACACATGAAAGAGAAAAAAGAAGCAGATGGAGTCAGAGTCTAGAAGAATGCTATCTGCAGGCCCAGAGATGGGATGTTTGGAGGCAGGGCTTCAAACTAGAGGGGCCCTGGAGCCCCCCGACAGAGGGGGCGCCAGCCTCTTGTCTGTTGCTTCGCGCCCTGATGTGCTGCCCCCTGCTGGTCACTGTGGGTATCGTGCCCATCTCAGGAAAGCAGTTTTCCAACCTCTGCCTGTAGCACCCTCCCATCGGGGCTGGGGAAGGCAGGGGAGGCAGAGGAGCTCTTGTTCATTTGTTCTTTCTGACATAGGAGCTCACTCTGTAGCCCAGGCTGGCCTCGAACTCCTGGAGATCCTCCTGCCTCAGCCTCCTGAGAGCTGGGATCACAGGCCAGTTGGGGGCGACCTCTAGGTCTAGACGTGAGTGGCTGCGATCGGTGGTCGGTTGCGTAGCTGCGAAGTGTATGCGATCCTCCCCAGGTCAACCTGACGGCCACTCTGGGGACACTGAACACCCTCGCCGATGTCCCGGACAGTGTGGTGCAGGGCAGGGCCCAGAAGCGGCTGACCATTTCCACCAGTAACCGCCAGCTGCTGAACTTCGTCCTGCAGCACGTGACCTACACGAGCACCGGCTACCAGCACAACCGTGTGGACGTGGGTGAGGCGCCGCTGCCTGCCTTCGGGGCCTCCCTGGGCCTCCCTGTCTGCAGCCCCCCAGCCTGATACTGAACTTCCCCGCGACTCGACCCAGTGCTCTCCCGGCTTTGCCACATTCACCCCAGACTTGCGGGTCCCATACTCAAGCTGCAGCTCATGGGTTCCGTTAGCTGCCTGCACAGTGCTCCAAGCTAAATCTTCAGGCTGGGCGGGGTGGTGCGCGCCTGTCATCCCAGCACTCAGGAGGCTGAGGCAGGAGGATCCTGTGAGTTCAAGGCCAGCCTGGGCTACACAATCAGATCCTGTCTCAAAAACAAAACAATAAAAAACCCAGACCCTAGGATCCCCAGCCCACCCTGCCTACCACATAGCACAGGGAGGAGAGGAGAGTTTAATGTTGTTCAGCCGGTTGCCCCAGGGTACCCAGAAAGTCAGGAGCCCAAAGCCAGGCCCCCGCTGCCGTCTCCCCTGCTTCCTGGCCCTGACAGCCTCTCTTCTTCCAGTGAGCTTGGAGTCGGGGTCTGCAGTGGCCAAGTTCCCCATCAGCATCCGTTACCCTGTCATCCCCAAGCTGTACGACCCGGGCCCAGGTGAGCCCTGTCCTCACCTCTGTGTGGGCTCCTCGTGATGAAATGGGGGAGGCTCTGAACTGGGGAGAAGGGGTCCGATATGATTCCTGACCACAAGATTTGTTTGGAGGAAAGAAAGTCTAGGATCCCTTCTCTACATTGCTTAACGCTATTTAAGCCAAACATGGTGTTGCGCACCTGTCATCCCAGCACTCAGGAGGCTGAGGCAGGAGGATCCCTGTGAGTCCAAGCCCAGCCAGCCTGGGCTACAGAGCGAGATCGTGTCTCAGAAATAAGACAGCAGGTCCTGTGGGGAGGCAGCAAGGCTTCCCGTAGGGGAGACTCTGGTCACCCGGTTTTTGTCCAGAGAGGAAGCTCCGGAACCTGGTGACCATTGCCACCAAGACTTTCCTGCGCCCCCACAAGCTGAAGACCTTGCTGCAGAGCATCCGGAAGTTCTACCCAGACTTGACGGTGATCGTGGCGGACGACAGCGAAAAGCCCGTGAAGATCGATGACGAACTCGTGGAGCATTACATCATGCCCTTCGGGAAGGTGCGGCAGGGGGCTCCAGAGTGAGGCTCGGCCCAGGCAGGGCAGCATGCGGTCCCCAGAAGCAGGGAGTCCCTCTGTGAACCCAGGTTCAGAGGAAATCACCCCACCTCCCAGCACTCAGGGACAGCTATTTCGGCTTCCTTCATGTGGGTGCCTAGAAATGGCCCTGTGTCTGCATCCCAAGAGCTCCTGACCTACGGTCCAGCATCAGACCCATCTCTGTCCCGACTAATCCACCCCAGCTAGGGACTGTCTCACCAGGATAGTGGAGCACGCTTACAATCCCCACAGGAGGCTGAGGCAGGAGGATCGCTGGGAGTTTGAGGCCAGCCTGGGCCACACAGAGAGCTCCCGAGCTCTCCTGAAACCTGGACTCCCTGTAACCAGCAGTTCCCAGCCTCAGCTGGACACTGGGTTCACCCTGTAGGTTGTGACTTCATCCCTCTGGGGACTCGGAAATCTCCCCAGGGACTCTGCTTAGTCACCAGGGTGGGGACCACTGACCTCAACTCCTGTGGCTTCCAGGGCTGGTTTGCGGGACGGAACCTGGCCATCTCTCAGGTCACCACCAAGTACGTCCTCTGGGTGGATGACGATTTCGTCTTCATCCCCAAGAGCAAGATTGAGACTCTGGTCGAGGTCCTGGAGAACACGGAGCTGGACGTGGTAAGGGGCGAGGCCTGGAGCAACGGAAAAATGGGAGGCAGAAGGGAGGCCGGGAGGGAGGGGAGTGAGGGCCACCTGGAACCAGGAGAGATGTGAGTCCCACCTTTGCCTCCACGGAGATCCTCCCACCTCAGCCTCTCAAGTGACAGGATTCTAGGTGTGTGTGACCATGCCCGGCTAGACAGGGCCATCCGGGTTGTGCCGGAGGCTTCCCGGAGGAGACAGAAGGAACCCTGGTCTCTGTGTCGCCCGCCAGGTGGGCGGCAGCGTGCAGGGAAACACATTCCAGTTCAAGCTGTTCCTGGAGCAGAGCGAAGCCGGGGACTGTCTTCACCGGAGGCCCGGGTCCTTCCAGCGCCTGGACGGCTTTCCCAGCTGCGTGGTGACCAGCGGGGTGGTCAACTTCTTCCTGGCCCACACTGAGAGGCTGCAGAGGGTCGGCTTCGATCCCCGCCTGCAGCGGGTGGCTCACTTAGGTGGGCGTGAGGAAGGGCGGGCTGGGGACATCCAGGAAGCCGAGGGCCATACCCGCGGGCCCCTGTCCCCACGACCCCAAAGTACGGAGCTCACAGCCCGCTCCACCTCTCTTCGACTCCGCCTCCCTTCACACCCACTTCCCCTTCCAGCCCTGCAGCTCTGTCCCCTGCCTCCTTCCCGTCCTACTTCATCTCTTTTTACAGAAATCCTTTCGCACTACATTGCAACCGGTGGCCAGGCGTGGTGGTGCATGCCTGTGGTCCCGGCCCTAGGAGGGAGGCTGAGGCAGGAAGAGGCCATGAGTTCAGCTCAGCCTGGGCTACATAGCAAGATCCCATGTCTCAAAACGAACACAGCTGCGTTCGGCCTGTGCGCCCCCTGCCGGCCGGTGACAGATCCCATTTCTCCCGCTCTCTCTCTGCAGAGTTTTTCATAGACGGGCTGGGCAGCCTACTGGTGGGCTCCTGCCCAGAGGTGGTCATGGGTCACCAGTCCCGCGCACCGCCGACAGACAAGGAGCTGGCCATGCTGGAGAAGAACTACAGCATCTACCGAGAAAACACCAAGGCGCAGATCCAGTTCAAGCTGGCGCTGCACTACTTCAAGAACCATTTCCAGTGTTCCACATAAAGCTCGGGGCTGATTGGCTGCGGGCATCTAGAAAGGTGGAACTGGCAATGCAGCCTACCAATGAGAACTCTTACCGGTGGAGGGCAGGGCAAGTAGATGAGCCAATCAACGTTTAAGGGTCATTAGGAATGGACCAATCATTGATCAGGGCAGTGGGGACCTTATAAATCACAAGCATTAAGAGTTCTGGAGCCTTCTTTCTGAAGTTCTGCGTTTTGATTCAGCCACTTCGTCTGATCTCAGCAGAAGGACGCGTTGGCTGCTGGTGCCTTGAGACTCCGGTGGAAATCATATGGCCACCAGAGACATCAGCGTCACTAACGTCCGCACGTTTTCATTTGGTTCTCTCTGGTGGACTCAAAAAACTGAAAAACCAGGGTCTTTGCCTTGAGGAGCGGCAGCTGGGCCAGGCCTCAGTGGTGACAGGTAGTGGACATCCGGTGGGATGAGGGTCGGGGAGCGGCGGCGAGGCCATGGGTCCCCGCGGGTGTGGGTACATCAGGTAGGGCAACTGGGGGTCTATGGGATGCAGTTAAAGCACAGCTAAAGTCAATAAGGGGTCTGAGGAGTTCCTGAGCACACACGCACACACACACACACAAAAACCCAACTGGGAGCCGGCCGCGGGGCCTCACAACTGTAATCCCAGCCCTCTGGGAGGCTGAGGCAGGAGGATCTCAATTTCAAGCCCAGCCCGTGCATGTAGTGACCTTGTTAGACCCTGTTTCAAAATAAAATATTTTAAAAGGGCTGTGGATGTAGCTCAGTGTGAAGCCTCTGGGTTCAATCCCCAGTACCAGGGGGAAGAAAAGAAAAGCCTGGGAGCCGGGGTTGTAACTCAGTGGCACCTCTCCTGCCACAGCAAGGGCGAGGTCCTGAGTTTGATTTCCAGTTTAAAAAAAAAAAAAAAAACCTGGGCCTTAAAGATGGCTTTAACGATGGGGCTGTGGATTTAGCTCAGTGGCACTGTGGCTGCTTCACAAGCACAAAGTCCTGAGTTCAATCCCCTGTACCCAGGAAAAAAAAAATTAGCCTTAACCTTGCATAAACTGCAGACATACTTGAAACCTAACTTGGGTCATTTTGGGTAAAATTTTATGCTAGAAACAAAACAACCCCAGCCAAAGTACATGAATGTATGAACTGCTTCTTAAATAAAGTCTTTAGAATTGTATCGTGCTTCCTGTTTTTCTTTTATGATGTGAAAATTGTCAGGCATCTGGAGACCCATGATGATGCCAGTCCTCAGGAGGCTGAGGCAGGATGATGGAGAGTTCAAAGCCAACCTGAACTACAAAGTGAGACCCTGTCTTCGCTATGTAGTCCAGGCTGGCCTTGAACTCTTTTATGTAGCCCAGGCTGGCCTCAGACTCAGGGATTTGCCTGCCTCAGCCTCTTTAGTGCTGAGAGTACAACCATGGGCCACCACACCCAGAGTCACTTTATATTTTGAGACTGGTTCTCACGAATGCAGGCTGGGCTCCAGTTCATGCTCCTCCTGCCTCAGCCTCCTAGGGTGCTGGGATTACAGGCCTGTGCCACCACACCCAGCTATTAACCTTGTTTTTTAATAGCATGAACTATTTATACACAGGATAAGGGTTTCCTTCTGCTCCCACAGGGAGAAAAGCAGTCAAAGTGGAACTCTACACAATGGTCCAGAAACCCTGATCGCCTCCCACTGACCATGCGGCCCTGCTCCTTGCTTCAAATATGTAAAAACCAAGCCGGGCCTGGTGGCACCCTCCTGGATCCCAGCACTTGGGAGGCTGAGGCAGGAGGATCACTGGGAATTCAAAGCCAGCCTGGCTACATAGTGAGACCCTGTCTCAAAAGAAAGAGAGAGAGATAGAGGGAGAGAGAGAGAGAGGGAGAATCGTGAAATTTGCCTAGAATCTTTGAATTTTATAGGACATCGTGGCTCCACTGCCCACTTCCTGTGAGGGATGCCCAAGGGCCATAGGGGTGAAAGCTGCCATTGGTTAGGTTTTTAAGGAAACCAATTGCCCATAGTTCCTTAAAGGTTGCTGGGTGTGATGGCAAGTGCTGGGCTAGCCCCTGTCTCCCAAAACAACAAAACAAATCAAAATGAAAAAAGAGCTGGAGGTGTAGCTCCGTGCATAGGTCCTGGGTCCAATCCCCAGTGCTGCAAAAGCAAACAAAAAAAACCCAGACGCACAGAGTCTTGGGTTGGCAGCAGACTCTGGACATCTCAACTGGATGCCCCAGGTGTGGGGATGGATTCTGGTGACCAGGCCTCTGCCTGCTCATAGCTTCCCTGCTCCGGCTTCATCTCCCTGCACATCCCGATCTTTAAATGATGGAGATTTTCATGATGTAATTGAGAGATCCGTGTCTTTGCATGTAGCCCTGTCTCCCCCACGCCCGGTACTGAGGATCGGACTCAGGTTCTCCCACGCGCGTCGAAAACACTCTCCCCCCGGGGGCCTTTTTTAGAATTTTGTTTTTGAGCCCAGTGAATCTCAGCACTCAGGAGGCTGAGTCAGAAATATCATGGCAAGTTCAAGGCCTGGGCTACATAGTGAGCTCAAGGCCAGCCTGATACGTGGCCAGACCCTGTTTTAAAAACCAAAACGGGGGTGGGGTGGGGAGAGAGAGAGACAGAGAGAGAGAGAGAGAGAGAGAGAGAGAGAGAGAGAGAGAGCGAGAACACAATGTGGATGCTTGCTTTTCTGAAGGTAAAGTGGCCACATTTGACCGTCAAAGCCACAACCGCTGGGCACAGAGGCAGGGTTAGGACAAATCGGAGACTCAGCGCCCTGGAACCCTGCCACGAGGGGCTGTGTGCCGGCTGTGGCTCCTGGGGCCGCGTGGGACACAGGCGTGGAGCTTCCAGTACAGGAGCGGGGTTTTATGTGCTAGTTATTTAGTAAGGAGTTTGGGTTTGGTATGTTTTCTTGTCACTACAGTACGTTTAAAACATTTTTTTGAGGCGGGGTCTCGCTAGGTAGCCCAGGCTGGCCTCCAACTCGTGAGGATCCTCCTGCCTCGGTGTCCCGAGTGCTGGGATCACAGGTGTGCGCCACCAGACCGGGCTAGCTTCCTAAATTGTCACACAAGTGTTTGTTGTACAGGTGATTTATTTTACCAGTTTTCACTACACACGTGGCGGGGGGGAGCCCCTGGATCGGGTTTCCTTTGTCCTGCCAGCGTGACGAGCCTGGCCGTGACACCTGTCCCAGGCGCGAGTTCTGGCCACGCGGTAGCGAGGGGAGCCTGGGGGTTTGAACCCCGGTCCTTCCGGCTCCAGGTCAGCGTCCCTCCCCGCTCGGCCAAGGCGCCCCCCGAGCGGGCGCTTCCGTGTTAATAAATAAATAAAG